GGCTTGGCAGTGCTTGGGAAGCAAAATCCAATCAGGTTATGGTGGGGAAAAATTGTGATTGAAAACCCCTTCCACCTGAAGTATGTGGATAGTTAATACAATGCTAAACAAAAATCTGCACACCAGTCAAGCCATAAGACTTGCTTTTCCCACAGAAATTCCAAATCAGCAGTGATGTTACAACCGCAAAGGATTCTGGGTGGGCATATGCAAATTATCCAAGCAGTTGTATACTGCAAACACAAATTATAAGGAATCCATGTTTAAAATGGAATGAGGCAAAAATGTGATTCTTTGTTAAACTAATTTGCATATGCCCACCCAGAATCCTTTGCGGTTGTAACATCACTGCTGATTTGGAATTTCTGTGGGAAAAGCAAGTCTTATGGCTTGACTGGTGTGCAGATTTTTGTTTAGCATTGTATTAAATATATATATACATATTATATATATACATATATACACACACACACACACACACACACACACACACACGGTCCGACTCCCCCTATCTATTGTGATCTAAATCGGCATTACATCTGATATAGCCATATAGTTAAAGTCAATGTATGTGTTCTCTGAAAGAGAGTCATGCAAGTCGTAATAATGATACCTTATATTATTGTCTAAGACAAAACTTGATGTTTAAATTGTTTTTTAAGGGGTTTATCAAAGAGCATTATCGTCAGGGTTTAGGTAAATATTCTAAAAGGGGTCAACTGTCTCCAAAACGTGTTTAGAACAGCTCCCACTCTTTATTTATTTTTATTAGTTTTTATTTATTATTTTTCGATAAATATCAAAAAGTCTCCCAAGAGTCTATAATACATCTCACTGTATATTATTTTTAATAATCAATAGTTATTAATTATGCAGATCTCAGATAATATATTTCAGGCTTATAAAATGAATATTGTAATCATTTTATCTAGTATAGTGAAGTCTGAGATTAATTCATAAGTGGTTATCTTTGGGTGGATTTCTCAAGGGGGCATGGAAACCATAAATATGGTTTAGTGGATATATCTATAACGTTTGTATTATTTGGGACAAAATCAGTATATATGTATACCTATATGTTTGTTATCTAGACTACCAAGGGTCCTGACAAAAAACTTTGAGGATTGACCTCAGGGATGTCATAAAATCTATGAAGCAAATTGGAAATTGAAACCAGGAACCCTAAAGAGACTAATAGTCCCAGGAATTACATCAAACTATATGACACTTATTCTGAATTTATGTGTAATCATATACACTCCCTGAGGCCAATCCTCAAAGTTTTTTGTCAGGACCTTTGGTAGTCTAGATAAATATATAGGTACACGTCATATCACTTAATCAGTCTAACAATTTTAATACACAATAATCCCAAATATTTTCATGATTAGCCCTTTTACAGACAGATTTCTGTTACATTTGGCAGCAGTATTTTACAGCCACTCCATAATTAAAACAATGTTTAACAAAAACAATATACATATGAGCAACTTTCTACAGATGTTTTACAAAAAACACATACCCTTTGAAGCATTTTGGTTTCCACAGATTGCGCATTATCAGATGGAAGAATACTTTTTGGAGTATTTAGTTATTTCTTGAGAATCCTCCGCAAATGCAATTTCAATAATTGCAAGTTGTCATGTACTATTTCATCATAAATAGACAAGGAAAATTAGGGTCAAACTCGCATCTGAAATTATCAAATTCCTCCAGTACTGGGTAAAGCAACCATGTTCGAACGATTTTCCTCCTGCTCACAACTACCTTCGCATAGTAACTCTGGAATGTTTAAACAAATGATCCTTGGAATGCCATTTCAGTCAACATATGTTTCTCCTGTTTCAAGCCGGGTACTAAAAAAATTTGCAGGGAACAATTAGATTTTTTTTTCTACTGTGATCTTCTTGTAATCTCTTTATTACAGAATCTTTAGATATCCAGTCAGTAATAATTCAGACTTAAATCCTACCCATGCTTTCTCCACCATTAAATGTAGGAAATTAGCTTTTCTTGAGATGTTTGTCACACCAGAATTCCAAATATCGAATCAGATTATCTTGCAGCAAAAAATGTATATTTATTCAAACATACACACCATACAAATAACAAAGTCCCTGCACACATCTGGACCAATACAGTAGCAACTTCAAGATTATTTTCAATTTTTGATGTTAAAAGTATTGGTAAAGAAATTCTAACTGCAATCATTTTTATATGTCTAATTTCAGTTACTAAGAAGGCGTACGCATAAGGTTGCCTGATACTTTTAAATATTTGGCTATCAAAAAAAGGGTAGTGGTTTAGTAACCAATGATTAAAGCCATATGTTATATTTGGGCAGTAAAATATAATTTACACAAAGGACTATATACATTAAATGAATACCTTCTATGTTTCTATGTTTCTACCTTCAGAAATATGAACATTCCTAACACACAGTCTGGCTTGCAAAGCTGAGTCAATGGTTAATATTAACAAGCTTTCATGCAGCATTGTCTAGACCATATGTGGTGATCATGGACAACAATGGAAGTCTGTAAACCTAGGTAGGGCCTCTTATTTCCTGTCTGAAAGTAGTTTGAATAAAGACTTTTAATATTCAGATATGTAAAGGTCATTAAAGATATTTCAACCCCATATAACTATGAGAAGGATAAATTCCTCTCTTAAAACCCACCCAACATGCCACTTGTGGGGCCATGTCTACTAAAAACAGTTAAGCAACCAAGAGCTGTTTATCTGTTACTACCTCATCCCTTGAGCAGTGGGATGTGTTAATATAAATAAAAGCTATGGGACCTGTATCTGGTGCACTTTTACCACTCTCCCAGGCCCCATCCCATTAGAACTATATATCACCCATGGATCATCCAGAATAATGCTCAAAGTAAGGATATAAACCAAAAATAAAGTGCACTGTGACTATAATCAAATACCTTTAGATTAGTACCATATAAAAGTGTAACTAGTTTAATATTAGTGCAAACATTTATATCCAAAGTGACAATGTGCACTTGTGAAAAACACTTCTTGTGTAATGTGCAGATATTGACAAAAATCTTCTCACTCACTTAGGCGTAACCCACTTTGTTTGTGTCAACGTTCCAATTTGAATCTCAAAAAGAAAAAAGGATCGCCGCCGACCCATCCGTGCCCGCTGTTGTACCAGGTACTCAGGTTGTGGGTCCGGTTGCACAGGTTCCTTTGGTTCCAGCGCAGTTTTGGGATCCATCTTGTCCGCCATTTTGGCTGGTTGATGCCACTGCAGTAATGCCCCTATGTCCCTGGATCCAGAGGAGGCTTCTGGGATTGTCTGCCCATCTGTGCCAGGGGTGATTGGTGGGTGTCAGGACTTATCTTTCCGATCGGCTACGTTCTGACATTTCTGGTATGCGTCCCCACCCCCTCCTCTGACGCGCCAGTTTCAAAATTGCTTAGTGATTTCAGTTTGTGACTTGCGCATTCACATTGCCGGCTAAGCTCCCCTTCGATAAGTTTTGTGTACTGAACCTTGGACTGTTTAAACGGATTCCTGCCTTCTCATCTCCTTTGACCACGGACCGAATATTGGACTTCCCTGCTCTCTCCAATTCCCAAGAACCGGACTGTTAGAAGTTTAACCACCCTCCAGGCTCAAACTAACCTGCCTTTGGAAGACAACTCCCAACAATCCTAAGTTTTCATTTTAATACTTTCTCTGGGTTTTTGCATTACTAATGAACTTTAACCTTCTTGCTAAAAAACTCTGCTACAAAAAACACTGTTATCAACATCTCTGTTACTGTTGCTATTACTTTATGCTTTAAACTAACAACCTGCAAATTCCACGCAGCCTTAAAGCTACAGTAACTTTCTTAATTAAAGGATTTTCATTTGACACTGTTAGAAAAATAAGGAAATTTCAAATCTGCAGTTGAGTTCCACATTTATTCTACTTGTGGCATAACAGAGGGTAGTAGTCAGCCTCCGGGTCCCTGTGAGGCTGCAAGCTGTCTAGAAGTTCCACACAGAGCCTGTACTTCTGCCTTTTTACCCTCGCAGGCTGAACAAATGGCATAGATAGCCTCTGTGTCACATACTCCATGGGGTGTTAGCTTGTAGCAGGCTGGGAGAGGGGTTTAGCCCTAAAAAATTTTTTTTTTTTAAATGCGGCCTCTGGACCTGGTGTCAATCAGCGCTAAAATACTTGGACATCTTACTGTGTCACAGTGCCAGGTAAGTTCTAGCACCATAACCTCTAGAGTAAGCTGTAGTGGTAATGGTGCTTGTAGTTTACCTTTAATTATATGAGGTAAGTAGGAGATTAGTGCTTTCAGCTGCTCCCATTAAAGTAGTTGCAGTTGTCGCAGACTCATTTATGTGTGTGCACACACGCAAATAAATTAGTTGAATGGAACTCTTATGAGGTCTGGCCATGCAGCCTATGGTCTTTGTAATGGGTTCCTCCATCTCCATCTGCACTTGTCAGAACTTCGGCCTTGGAGGAAAGATGCAAAGTATGGTTGCAGCCATCAACAAATACTGTTCTTATATAGCACGGAAGCTACGTCTGTGCAGGTCTCTTGTCCCTCATACCTTTCAATTTCTAGACCCCCACATCCTGCCAAGCATTTAAAAAACTAATAGTGATAAACTGAAGGATGGGTTCACCAATAGCCCAGCAGTGGATTTCATCCGGTTACATATTCAGGAAATAAGGTCGTACAGACAACTTGCTGTATGCCAAGAAGCTCTTCTGAGGCCCTCTTCTAAACTCTAGTGGCTACTTTGGATAACATATAAATGTGATTATATATATAAGTATCGTTTTAAAATACTATGATTTGGTTCCTTTGGTAACTTACTAGGTTATAGTATTTTTCAGAACTACTGTGCTAGGTTGTAGGATTTATTTTCTTGTTAATACATTTCATAGCAAAAATATTTAGTTCAAAAATCACACTGCCAAACAGAAAAAAGTTAATGTACATCACACATGACTCACATTTCAAATTAAACGCGATTTTTTGGGGTTGATAAATAAGACCCTCACCACACAATAAAAAAAAAAAAAAAAATGACAATATAGAAAGATAGCTCGGCGTAAAAATATTTAATTAAGCTTTATACACAGAACAGTTCTTTAACAGTTGGACTCTAAAGATGTAGATTGTGCATCAATACGTTCAGACTTTAGCCTGGGCAGTCTTGGATAGAGCGTTCAGGTCAGAGATACACTTTGTGATACTCTCCTTTTGCTGTAGGAAATGAAATTGGGAAGGATTTAGTTATTGGGACAAATAAGAAAGAAGGAATCAATGTGAAGAAAGAAAACAGAAGGGTGCAAAGTGTCATTAAAGTAGAGTACTCATCAACAAGGTCAACCTCAATTAGAAAATAAAATGAATTCTACACACAATACAGGCTAAACCAATTGCAAATGTATACATGACAAAATACTTAAGTGCTGCTCTCTTGTCTTATCTGTGAGATGAACATGTTGGCCCAAACAATAGCCACGATTCAATTACAGAACACTATTCATTCTGTAATTGAATAACAAGAATTGTAGGAAACATAGCTGTACATACAAACTTGTTTTTCGACATAATTGTAGATGACATGTGTGCCAAAGAATTTACTAGCCCAATGTACAAAAAGAATAGTATAGTGCAAGAGGTGCTCTTTAAAGTTTTGCAGCTGCTTTACCTGCTGAGGAGTAATGCTCTGCACGACATTCTTCTCGATCCAGCTGATCATGTGATCCTGTTCCTTGCGCCGCTGCAGATGCTGTAGAGCCACCTGATAGTCCAGACGTTTCTTTACTTCACTGTACACGTTCAACAGTCGTTCCCTGTAATTGACTTCTAGGATCATATTCACGTTATTCTGGAGGAGGAAATAAGGGGGGGGAAAAATCCTTAAAAGTCTGTAAGAAAATACCGAACATGTGGAAAAACCCTGTATAAATAAAAACATATTCCATACGTTATTATTGGGCTTATAGTTTTATACAGGAGCAAACCATATTTTATCTTTCAGAAAATACTTCTTTTTAAAGCAAATGAGAAAGCACAAATTACCGTCCAGCCGGAAACTGATACTGCATTTCTATGGTGTCAATGTAATCAAACCTTAGGATATTTGTGCAGAGGTTGCTTCTTAGAGCAATACATTTATGAAAGTGGGGTTTTCCCAGGTCTATTTTTTTTCCCTGCTCACCGTTAAAAGAATGTACCTTGTGGCATTTTTATAATCACCGCTATCTAAGAAATGCCCCGGAAATCTTAAAATAATAGTTATATAGCAAGAACAGTGGCATCAGCTATCTGTACAATGCAGGGCATTGCAAGCGGATAAAATAACAAAACAAAACATATATGGGTCTGGTATAAAACCCAGAAATCAAGGCCTTGTTAGGGTTAATTCCTGTGCTGGGCTATCCCACACATGCAGCAAGGAACACAAAATAAAATGCAGTCCGCACTCAGGAGTAAACCCTTATGATCCACATAAAAATACACAGAAATAATGAAAAAGTGCACATTTATTGATATAAAAATTGGAGCTATGTATGGCAGAAAATAGTCATGGCAGCACTCCAAAAATCTGAATATAAAAGCAGGAATATTGAGTAATGCAAACAGTATATACAGTGCCTTGCAAAAGTATTCACCCCCCTTGGCATTTTTCGTGTTGTGTTGCCTCACAACCTGGAATTAACATGGATTGTTTGAGGATTTGAATCATTTAATTTACAGAACATGTCCACAACTTTGCTTCACAATAATAATAAAAACATCTTCAAACAACAAATAGGACAAAATGACAGAAAAGGTCAATGTGCATAACTATTCACCCCCCTAAAGTCAATACTTTGTAGAGCCACCTTTTGCAGCAATCACAGCTCCAAGTCGCTTTGGATAAGTCTCTATGAGCTTGCCACATCTTAGCAATGGAATCTTTGCCCATTCCTCCTTGCAAAACTGCTCCAGCTCCTTCAGGTTGGATGGTTTGCGCTTGTGAACAGCAATCTTTAAGTCTGACCACAGATTTTCTATTGGATTGAGGTCTGGGCTTTGACTATGCCATTCCAACACATTTAAATGATTCCCCTTAAACCACTCAAGTGTAGCAGTGTGTTTGGGGTCATTGTCCTGCTGGAAGGTGAACCTCCGTCCTAGCCTCAAATCATGCACAGAGTGGTACAAGTTTTACTCAAGAATATTCCTGTATTTAGCACCATCCATCTTTCTCTCAACTCTGACCAGTTTCCCAGTCCTGGCTGCTGAAAAACATCCCCACAGCATGATGGTGTTCTTTGGGTGATGTGATGTTTGGGTTTGTGCCAGACATAAGGTTTTCTTTGATGGCCGAAAAGTAAAATTTTATAGTCTCATCAGACCAGAGCACCTTCCTCCATACATTTTGGGAGTCTCCCACATGTCTTTTCGCAAACTCAAAACGTGCCATTTTGTTTTTTGCTGCAAGTAATGGCTTGCTTCTGGCCACTCTGCCATAAAGCCCAACTCTATGGAGCGTACGTCTTATTGTTATCCTTTGTACAGATACTCCAGTGTCTGCTGTGGAACTCTGCAGCTCCTTACCTTAGGTCTCTGTGCTGCCTCTCTGATTAATGCCCTCCTTGCCCGGTCTGTGGGTTTTGGTGGGCGACTGTCTCTTGGCAGGTTTGCTGTTGTGCCATGTTCTTTGCATTTGGTTATGATAGATTTGATGGTGCTCCTGGGGATAATCAAAGATTTGGATATTTTTTTTATAACCTAACCCTGACTTGTACTTCTCAACAACACTGTCCCTTACTTGTTTGGAGAGTTCCTTGGTCCTCATGGCAGTGTTTGGTTAGTAGTGCCTCTTGCTTAGGTGTTGCAGCCTCTGGGGCCTTTCAAAAAAGGTGTGTATATGTAATGACAGATCATGTGATACTTAGATTGCACACAGGTGGACATCATTTCACTAATTATGTGACTTCTGCAGGTAATTGGTTGCACCAGAGCTTTCTTATGGGCTTCATAACAAAGGGGGTGAATACATACGCACATGCCAATTTTCTGTTTTCTATTTCTAAAAAAAAATCTTTTATGTATATATTTTTCTCATTTCACTTCACCAACTTAGACTATTGTGTTCTGATCCATCACATAAAATTCAGATTAATAAAACATTGAACTTAAGGCTGTAATGTAACAAAATAGGTAAAAAGTCAAGGGAGGTGAATCACAAGATGAATATACATATATCCAGGCAAAGACAACACACTTGCCAAAAAAACACAAAAAAAACAAACAAACACTTAAGGAATGATTATTAAGAAGTTGTGATACCTGCTGCTGCCAGACGTGAGGAAGACCACAAACAAAAAGGTAAGAGTGAGTACCCTAGATGCGTTTCACACCTCCCTAGTGCATTCTCAACATGAGTCTTGTGATTATCATATGCCGTTTGCATTACTCAATATTCCTGCTCTTATACTAAGCTTTTTGAAGTACTGCTATAAATCACTGCAATTTTTTTTTGCACTTTTTCATTATTTCTGTGGATCATAAGTGTTTACTCCTGAGTGCGGACTGCATTTTGTTTTGTGTTACTCATTGCAAGCTGACATTGCCACCTTCTGTGAAGGGTGTCTTCAGAACCGTTCTACCTCCCTAGATGCCAAAGTGCAGCCACTAAGCAGGGCAAGAAAAAGGTTCCAGTGATTTGATGCTCTAGGAGAGAAATGCATATATGTGCTCTAGGAGAGAAATGCATTTCCAGCGGGCTAGGGTTCCTTATGTACTAAATTTAGTTTTTTAGTGTAAAATGACAGTAAGAGCAAACAAACAAACATGAGGGAAGGAGTTAGTGACATTTTGAAACAAGCCCTAAGATGAATGATTTGATTCCATAGATTATTAAACTCAAACAATTTTAACAGAACTTACCCTTTTGGCATCAAAGAGGTAGTGTCGTCCCTCAACCCTCCATTGCTCCTTCTTCTCTTCATCTATTGCTTGCTCAAAATTCTTAACTGAGGCATCTTTCACTGCCTGAGCACTTGCAACTTTTTCCTACAGTGAGAGAATGTATTAAAACAGTTCAACATCAACAAGTATTAATTAACATAATGATTCACAACAATCCACATTAAAGTAGGCAGTAGTAAATCATCCAATACCCCACTGCTCACAGCTTCATATTGGAAGGCATAAGCATGCAATCCATACACATGCCGTACAAATACATTTTATACAAGTTCCCCTTTAAATGCAAAACATTCTACCTACACATTCATGGTTATTTATGAAAGTGAGAATTCAATGTGAATTTCACATTTTAGATAAAAAATTGCTGAAGTGGAAAAATTCTCAAATCAATTATGGTTTCAGTTGGCTACTCAGGCTTTCAATGTGACTTTCATCTCGAATACTCACTTCAGTAAGTAACCTGGATTGTGTTACACAAATGTGCTACAAACTTGTAGATTAAGTTATTCAACTATAAATTAATTTGACCTTCTTGGGCTTTACAGTAATAGATACAATAGTGGACACTGCATCAAACTATTCAGTCACATACAATGGACATTTCATGTACAACTGACTGCTTATAATACTAGTAACACTCCTGATCAACCATACAAATTCACAAATCTAATGGAAACATATCTAGCAATTTATACTTGTGTATCCGGGATCACATTGCAAATTCAGAATGCTCTTTTAAGGTTGCCCAACATCAAGATAGACAGACCAGAAAAACATTACCAGCTAATGAAAATATAAATGTGGCCTTTTTATTGAACTAGAGTGTACATGCAGGGCAGGAAAGAAGAAGAACTGTGTTACTCCAATGTTTTTTATATTCTATTTGTAAACTTGTGGATGCAAACAGAATAGATAAAAGCTTACTTCATTGAGTTTGTCTGCAAAGTCTGCCACTTGTGGCCCAAATTTCTTGATGCTGTAAACAATTACCACGCCAATACAAGCAGCAGCAAAAGTCTCATGATTCAGAACGTAGACTTCCTTGGACAGGAGGTAGACAAGGAGACCAGTAGCCAACATGTAAGGACCTACAGAAATATATGAACAGACAACTGGTTGTTAGAACTACTTAGTTTGGTGTTTTATTGTGTCAACACAAAAAAAAAATTGCCAAAAAGGTTTGCTGTTGTAATAAACATTAACCTGCTCAAACCTTGAATGTAAATCAAGAATCAGATGCTTTAAACAAAATAATTAAAATCAATAAAAATTTAGCTTTCAGGGACGGGACCTGACTATCACAGAGGATAGATTAATCTCAGAAGGGCTCCTCCACAAACCTGCTAAGATTGGCATTTTAAAGCCTATTAGTGTCCAGTGATCCCTGGGTAGATGCCCAACTCAGGCAGCTGTGGCTTTGACTTGGAGCACATCATGCTGCAGCCTAACGAAAATGGCAGAGGCTGCATGGCTCCCATCTGCCCGGGATGACTCCAGCAATATACTTACCCAACTGGACAAGCTTTTCTATAACGTCTGGAAGCAGCTTCAACGCAGGATGCACCTGCCCCACTGCAAACATTGACTACCTCTCTTTAGGGTGCTATTCAAGAGCCCGGTGGGCTTAACACACGGTGAGAGTTCCCACACGGCGGCAGACTTCGTTCAAGTGAAGGCCCATCACGAAGCTGCTAAGGACCAACTCAAGGTCTGCGGTATCTGCAGGACATCCGACAACGACTGGGCTTCTGCACTGTCTGCAAGCACCTTCCCTGTATGTCCTCTCCCTAATGCCCGATTGCATCCTACCCATCGAGGGCATTGGCTGAGCTCTGCTGCGTACAAGGAATCACTGGGACTCATGTACAACATCTATGACCCTAAAGACTTCTAGGCCTGCCATTAAGATTGTATACAGATTCCTTACCGGAATCTCCCAGGGGGATAATTTCTTCAACAAATCAACAGTCATGCAGTTTTTTTTTTCTTTCTGTGGCCCTCCTCTATTCTAGCTAGATTTCTGTATATCTAAGCATAGTCCTTACTCTATTTAGACATGTCAGATTATTTTTTGGTACGCTTCTGAAGGTGCAGAACCTGGGGCATTTAACGTATGGCCTGATTAAAAATCCATTGGTTTATCTCTCTTTTAAATGCCTATATATTCCTCTTTGTTGCATAAAAAAAAAAATATATATATATTTTTTTTAAATTTAGCTTTCAATTTTAGGAGGTACGACAAAGCTTACATCATCATTTCATTCAAGACAGTTAATTTACAGCATTTCTTTTTATCAAATGGTTTGGAGAACAAGGTGTTTTGTTATGGTGGGAATGACAAGTGAGGAAAGATGGGAGCTTGTCATAATGAGAAAAGAGCTTCCCACAATAAAGCTCTCAGGAGGTTTCCTTTGATGGATAGCCAGTCAGGAAACAGGTAGCACTTTACAGCTAGTCTAACATATATAGTTCAGGACAAAATGCACAACTATTTATAGTGGGCCGAGAAATGTTATCATACAATTCAGGATATTTACTTAATTGGGAAATAAAAAAAGTGTAAGCCAAAATAGCCAAACTGGAAAATTCTTCCATCTTAGCCATTATTTCCACTTAACTAGTTTGGTTTAAAATTTATATACATTGTGTGTTTCATCAAATTTGGTTATTTAAGTTTATTTACAATTTTTTTTTTTTCTTTGCAGCTATGGGGGTTAAGTAAAGAAGAATTGTTCAAGATCCAACAATTGCCTGAATATACCCGTTTGTACGGAATATGTGCCAATTCCTGACAAATGCCTAAATGTGTCAAGTAAGGAGAATATCTGAAGTGAGTAGGTTTATTCTTTAAACTGGAAAGTGTTAGCACCGACATGTTAATTGCATGTTTTGGGCCAAAATAACACATTTTCCTATTTGAAAAAAAAAAAAAAGGATGAAACACAAAATGTAAGTGGTTAAAGCTCCTTGAACAAAAATCTTAAATGATTTTAGTGTCTTATTCACAAATATGACATGGTGTAAAGTTATGCCTATTGATTAAAAACAAATTTTTTTTTTTTTTTAAATGTGAAACGTATTGATACAATTTGAAGTGCTAATCATGGTTTATATAAATTTTCACATTTTTCCTTTTACCAATTCGCACATTTTGCAGATATGATATTTTACAGATTAACATAGATAGCTGTTACTTCTTAGGTATTAAATTAATGTACATCGACCTGAAGTCTATATGTCATCACAAAATATAAAGCATTTGCTTACCTGTGACTCCAGTCTTGGGATAGAGGAACTGGAAGAACTCTTCAGGGATCAACCCATAACGAACCTTCCCTCCTTTCTCTGGGAGAGGAGGTACGGGAGCCAAGGCAACTTTCCCAGTGTGAAAAGACCTACTCGCATGCACAAGGCTAACAGAGACAAAAATAAAAATAAATATAACAGCAATTTGATCTGGCATTGGCCAACATGGTTTGGCAACTTCAATATAGACATATACAAAGTCTTCCAAATAAATAGCAACATACACACACTATAGCAAAGGAGCACTCCAAGCACCCTAACCACTACTTACTAAAGTAAGTAGTCAAACCATTTTAGAACTGTTTGATTTCTTACATGTGGTCCACCGGGCCCCTGCCACTATAGCCTCCAGAAAGCTGGAAGCTTTCCTGCCTGAACTGGACCCAGTGGTGCAGGGCTTACCTCAGGAGAGCCAACAGGGTCTCCTTAGCTGGAACTTCTAGCTCTCCTGGCTGCATAGATGAAGGTGCCTGGGCATTCTCTATGCTGTAGTGGTTATGGTTCTTGGAGTGTTAAATAAATGAAAACCACTCAACTAGTAGAACTAACATTTTCCACTAGTGAGTGACAACTATTTGAGTATTTTCCTTTACTGCATTTATAAAAAAATAATAATAAATAATAATAAGAAAAAAAAATAAAAAAAACTTACCCCATACTGAGAGGAGCAGAGTTCCTCAGGGCAGAGGCTAGAAATAAAAATAAAAATACTGATTAAACATTTGTTTTGGACTATTCAGATTTAGTAAGTATATGTATCTATAATAATAGCAAGGACAGATAGGAGAACATTCATGATATGACATTATTATGTAACATATTGTTGTAGACTACACACTTACAAGTAAATAAATCACCAACAGAGGTATTCATTGTTTGATAGTGCGCATTAGAAAACTTAGCATAAATTTAATAGAATTTGAAATCACTGTATTCCATAAAAGACAATCAGACTGAAGTATGATTATTTGAAATGAACAGGCACATTTTATTCAGTGCCATTCTGTGTATACTTTAAAAATCAGTAATTCTTACATGTGAAACCTATGAAATATATAGAATTCACATATTTACTAGATTACTTCTAGCAAACCCAGTAGCAGGCAATTATTATTATTATTTTTTTATTTTTATTTTTTTTACAGGTGACGTATTTTTTTCTCTCCAAGCAGATACATGCCAAATGACCTGGATCCTGCTCGGCACAGACCCCTACTTCCAGTCTTCTCCTTTAGGAAAATCATGTTATTACTACAAAGTTACAGGGAAACTATAGTGCCAGGAAAACAAACTTGTTTTCCTGGCACTATAGTTTCCCCCTCCATCGTGCCCCACCATGGGGCAGAAGATGTTTAAAAAAGGAAAAAAAAGTGCCCCTTTACTGTATAACCATGCAAGTGTTTAAAGACACCCTATGACAGGGGTCAGCAACCTACAGCACGTGTGCCATGCATGGCACTCAAGGTTGCCAGAGCCAAACAGGCTCTGGCGTAACAGGAGTCCAAGTGGTGATATTTGCTAGTGCAACCCAAGTGGCGGCGATTGCAGCTTGTGAGGGACATTCCTCAATTTACACGTTATATCACTTAGAGGAAGTGATCTCAGGGGAATCCACACTGGAGTACAGCAACCTGCAGCAGCTCCTGTCCTTGACCCATACCTGGCCAGCCTGGTCCACACTGAACCCCCAAGGAAGCCACCCACACTGCTAGGTATACACAGAGTTGCAGAAGAAAAAAAAACAAAAACAAAAAAAAAAACCTCTTCCTAATACAAATAGCCTACATACAAACACACACACAGTCCCCACAAACACCACTGACAATCCACATATATGCACACAGCCCCACACACCATTAATCATGCAATGTGACATCATCGACACACACAAGCAGGCCCCATACACAGTCCACATTCATAGGGATCATACACAATCCTATGGAATGTAAGCTCGTTTGAGCAGGGTCCTCTTCAACCTATCGTTCCTGTAAGTTTTCTTGTAATTGTCCTATTTATAGTTAAATCCCCCCTCTCAAAATGTTGTAAAGTGCTACATAAATGGTAGTAATAATAATAATAATAATAATAATAATAATAATAATAATAATAATAATAATACCACAAACTTCTCATGAGAATTTGCAATATAACTGTTCACATACGCACAAATACAACGTTACAAAGCAACTGCAGCAACCATAAATAACAAGCACAATACAGCAAGATATACACTTCAATTTAAAAAAAAATTAGGACCGGCCCGCCAAGGGTCTTAAAAATCTTGTATTGGCACAGTTCTACTAAAAGGTTGCAGACCCCTGCCCTATGACATTTTCTGCACTAAAAATGGGCAAATCTGAAACATGTTATGCATTACAAACATTTTAGCTTTACACATATAACTTTTCCTCAGTGCTATAGAGGATTTAACAATCCTGCAGAATCAGGTGTGCATTTATATTGAGACTTACAGCTTTTGATTAAAGTTTGGCAGAGAAGCAAAATGATTTACATGCAACGGTCAGCTATCATAGCTAAAAACAAAAAAAAAGTTAGCCAATAGTCCTCAGGCAAGTGAAATAATTAAGGATCCATCTAAAACATAGTGTTAGTGCATATTTAGAAATATAGGTGTAGTAGGATAGGTTTTCCCATTTGTTGAAATAAGTTACAAAAAGGCACTTATAAGAACTCCTAAAAACTTGAACTTTAAGAGGGACTGGAAACCTTGATCTGGTCTCCAGACCAACTCATTTCAGCCACATCAACTCCACAATGAATATCCCAGGATGAATGATTGTAGATACCAAAAAGGTTGTGTGTAATCAAGTGTACTGGGGTCACTGCTGAAAGGTTGTTACAAAGTCATTTGAAAGGCCTACAAAGTTATGAGAGAATGCTTTGGGAAAGAAACAATTAGGGGCAGCTTTATATCAAGTTTATATTTAAATGTGATTTGTAATTTAAAAAAATGGTATGGACTGAAAGAAAAGCTAAAGAAATAGAATAACTTTATGGGAAAAATAATCAAGACAAACACATACCTACAGAGCTAAACCGCTTTATAAATTGTATGTTCTTGGATTATAAAATCATGTCAAAAAAAAAAAAAACTGACATTACACCGGAATTGTGGAAAGCTGACAAAAGAATTGAAAATTTTAGGCCAAAAACATCCAATGAGGAAAAGCTGGCCAACTCTTCCCACTTTGCTGCAAAATTTGAAATTTCCTTTTGTCGTTTCTCCACAATCCCCGTCAATGTAATGTTATCATCAAGTCAATCAATAAACAAGTTGAAGTAATCAATTTAGGCCTATATAAATGCAGCCAGAAATGTGTTTTTCAAGCTATGCCGCACAGGACAACAATCAGGTGCAAATCATAAATATTAAATATGAAAGCAGTCACGGTGCGGTCAGTCAGGGTTATTCACTAAAGGGTGAATTATCGGGAATTCTATCCGAGTTATTCACTAATCTCAGAATTTTAGAGAATTAAACCTGAAACGTAAAACTTAGAATAAAATAACTTATCTAAAATAAACAAACACATTCAGCTACGGCTTTGTTATTTTACCTAAAATAAGGAGTTTAGTGTATGACCCTGAAGGTGGATTTTAAATGTTAGGCTATAATAGCCGAATTAAACCCATAACAATCTTGGGGGGGAGGGGGATTCAGTTGGTCTATTTTGGTATAATGTGAATTGCTGCCATTCCGCCCTTTACAATAACCCTGGGTAGGGAGTACTCGGCCCCCAGCTCCCCGGGTGCCATGCGGCCTGTCCCGCTCCCAGAGCCCGGTCCTGCAGGCGGGGTCATGGCGGCTCCCTGGCTGCACTCACCCGAGGCCAGGGCCACTCTGGACAGCATGGTGCGGCAGGGGTTACGGTGCTGGTGTCAGGAAATGAAGCTGCCTCCGCCGGTAACTCTGTGCCCTCAGTGTCCCTGACACAGCCTAGAAGGCAAGATGGCGCAGGACACACCCCCTCCCGCCCACCGGAACGTCACTGATCCGTGCGCGGCCATCTTTGTTCCTGGCACTTTACCCTATGGATTCGCTGTCCGCCATCTTTACTGAGGGCATTGCTGTGACTGGGCGGATCAGACATGTCCAGTTCATGGAACGCTGGGTAGGGGATTTTCACGGGTAGGGAAATTTGATAGAACACCGTCATGGGAGACGAGGGCAGATTCTGTTTTTTTTTTTTAATATCTTTGTTCTCAGCATTGGAGGCTACAGGCTGAATTGCTCACGGTTTATGTATTATTTAGTGTAAATCTGTCTGAGGTTGCTGTGTATTGATTTATTTTCCATTAATGCGTTTCCTTATTTATCACTATGGGTACAAGCTTTGACCTTATTCAATATGGCAGCTCTACCGCATCTGGCCCCGCCCCCCGGCGAAGGGCAAAGGCAGCGGTAGTAGGCGTGGCCTGCAAAGCTGGCAGCACTGGGTAGGCGTGGCCTGCAAAGCTGTCATGATCGGGGGCGTGGTTTTGCGAGGCAGTACTAAGGGGGCGTGGCCGGCGAGACTGCGTTCTGATAGAAGGCGTGGCCTAAAAGAATGTGCATTTACTAGGGGGCGTGGCTATGCGGCGCGGTGCTTGGCGGGAAGGGAAGCTGTAGCCGGAGTGACAGATCGCGCTCAGCACGTGGTGTCGCTATGAGTAAAGAGAAGCCGTGGGGCAGCCCGCTCCGGGCCCCGGCCTGCATGGACATACAGCTGGAGGCATGCCGCTACCGGAAAGGTGCCGGATAGCAAGGGGGGGGTGCGGAGCCTGGGCCCAATGGGAGGCCATCAATGAAGCTATCACACCTGGTGCATGAAAAGTGCTGCCTTACAGTATATCATTGAGCAGGGATAGGCAGCCCAGGTGTGATGCTTTGCCAGCGTTATGGGTGTAAGAGCATTATGGGAGATGTAGTCCACATCCTCTGGAGTGACAAAGGTTGTCTACCCCAATGTAAAACTTATATTAAGGCAGGCAGTGCATTCATTAGACCCTTGCAGCATGTGATTGATGCACCATTCATGGACTGCCCATTATTAAAAAGACACTCTGAACCTTCTGTAAAGTTTTAAGTGTGGAGAGTGTGTGTGTGTGCTCTATTTCAATAGAAATTGACACTTTTATAACTTAATCTGGTTACACCCCCCTGGATTTCAAGACGATAACATGTCCTGTTACTTCCTGGTTTGGTTAGCTCAAGAGGCAGCAATTGCTCAGAGCACCTGCCTTGCAAACACTTGTTATTGAACTGCATTGGGACTTCTGATTGGACAGCCACAGAAAGTCTGGGCAGGGTTAGAAGGGGAGAGCTTGCAAAGGCTGTAGTCAAGATACGTTTTTAAATATACCCAAACGAAAAATAATGCATACATGTTTTAATTTAGGGATATCTACTATGTTTTATTATTTATTTTGGCAGTGGAGTGCTGTTTTAAGTTTTGAATGTATTATTTTTTTTTTTAATGCAAGAAGACTAGCCACTTGCTCTGAATATTTGTGGTAATTAGATTTTATGAACTGTAATGGTTGTTTAGCCTTTATAGAAAGCAATACCTGAGTGCAGTGTTTTATAACTATAACTCTTTTTCTCTCGAAGATGGGGCATTGCTTCTAGCTGCATCGAACCTTAGTGGCCGCACCTGGGGAGGTTCCATATGGGTGTTCAAGGATCCTCTTGGTGCACCTGTTGAAAGCCTTTGCACGTGTGGAGTCCAGACAGAAGCAGGTGTGATTGATGTGGCATGGGTATCGGATAGTGGAATTCTGGTGGCATCCGATTCAGGTATGGTTATATGCATTTGTGGACATTTCAATAACAGCACAAAAAAGCAAATTGGTTTTGTAGTGAAAGGAACATTATAGTGTTAGAAATATAAACATGTATTCAGAATGCTAGAGTGCTGAGCTACTGTAGGTTGAGGGCCCCCTACAATGAAAAAAGTTACGATTTACTTCCATTTATTCCATGTCCCAACAAACTCCACGTCCCATTTTGTAGTAGCGCCTGAGATTTGTCAGCTCGTTAAGTGGAGGCGGCTGGGCAAGGGAGAGTTAAGATGAGTGGCAATGGAGGTAGCTGTAAACTTCAATCTTTTTTTGCTTTGCTCCCTTAGGCACCCTGCAGTGATGTAGAAATGAGATGTCACTCTGACCCTCACAAAAATAAACAGTGGGCAAGGTAGCAGATGAAGAGCTTCACCCTCCCACTCCACCTCTCCTAAATGTAGAAGGCTGTGTCTGAGGTTACCAGCTCCCCTTTGATCGCATGTAAAATTAGTTTTTAAGCTCCTTTTTCTCACACCACGCCAGTCTCTCCGTGGCCTGCCCTGCCTCCATGGCTGAGATTATCAATTTTGATGATCTCAGCCAAGCCATTGCTTTTCCATAAAAGCATTGGAAGGCTATTGCGCATGATAGAGATGCACTGAATCAATCTATGAGGGGCATTCAGAGCCTCCACGCAGAGTGTGGTGATGATGAATGTAGGTCAAGTCCTACTTTACTCCTTTACTACAAAGGACTTACTGAGTATGCACTGCCTCACTGTCTAATATCAGTTGTGGTGACATCAGCCAATCCAATGCTCCTCCATAATGCTGCACCAATTAGCATTACCTCATAGAACTACATTCAATCAATGCATCTCTAGAGGGAGCATTCACCATCTCCATTGAGAACTTGGGGAGGCTGAATGTATGTCCTGCAAAGATGGCAAGACATCATTTAGGTAGTTTAGCTAGGGGCTATCTAAATAACCACTTCTAGAGGTGGATTTGGATAGCGGTGTAAACACTGCCTTTACTCTGAAAGGCAGTGTTTACAATGCTGACCCTGCAGGGACAGGCTATATGTCCTATAAACTCTACATTAACCTATGACGATAATGTCCCTTGAAATTTGTAACATGCTTAGTGATGGCTCAATTCATCTCAATGTGAATGCTATGCCTTGCTAATAAGACTGTTCCTTTAGATTTTAGGGATCTATTGTCTACTAAGGCGTGGTGCCTTTAGCAAAGTGCTAAATTGGAGTATTTTTGTTTAGGTGCTGTGGAGTTCTGGGACATTCTGGAGAATGAGTCTTTGTTGGTGAATAAATTTACCAAATACGAGCACGATGACATTGTAACGTCTTTAAGCATTTTCACTGATGGGACACAGGCTGTAAGTGGAAGCAAAGATTTCAGGTTCGTAGTCCAGCTGTCTTTACTGCATTGTTTGGTATGATATTTTTGGTAACTTGTAAAATATGTGTTCTTATATTGTTTTAGTGTAAAAGTATGGGACCTCTCTCAGAAAGCACTTCTAAAGTCATTCAAAGGTGAGTTCTCTTATTGCTAATATCTTTATTTAGGGACTAGGTACACATAACATTTTCATTTGGCTAGGACTTCAGCTGTACGTTTAGCGTTGGTTCAGTCATCTAGTGAAACCTAAGTCTTTACTGCAATTTTGTATGGTTACACGAATTCTAACAATTAGTGTTACATTGGTGTGACTAATGTTTAGAAGGCTATCAATAGAGGCATGTTAGTAGATTGTATGCATTTCGGCCTGCTACGTCTGTTTTGTCATGATATTGTAAGCAATGTCTTGGTTTCTCATGTATTGGTTACTGTGTCTCTCTTTTGTGACTTAGCACATTCCGACCAGGTTACATGTGTAGCAGCTTGCCCTGGCAAGGAGACCATCTTCCTGTCTTGTAGTGAGGTGAGCATGTTCTTTTTTTTTATTTTTATTTTTTTTTTTATTTAATCTGTTTAGGGACTTTTGCTTCATCTGAGTTTAGAGATGGACTTCCATAAATGTTCCTACATTTATACCATACACTCACGGAAGATGGAAGCAAAATGGATTTTTGTCAATCCATGAAATATAACATGTACATCAAGCACCAGTTCCTTTGCTATGTGTTTGGTATAACATGATAATATATGGACATAAAATAAGTCTAAATATCATGCTAACCAACAACCTGTCACTACCTAATTTTTTTTTTTTTTTTGTGAAATGCTTTATTGTTATAGCAAGGTACAGTAAGCAAAATTTGAAAGAATACTCCAGTTCTTCTGTCCACTGCAGCTTGTTATAACGATTATGGCGTAAGGCGCTGTTGGATGTTTGGTATATTATAACGTGGAATTCTCATTCTTTCAAAACATTGGTTTGACACACTGTTTAACTCCTTAGTGACCAGACCGCTTTTCAATTTTCTTACCATTAAGGACCAGGGCTCTTTTTACATTTCTGCAGTGTTTGTGTTAAGCTGTAATTTTCCTCTTACTCATTTATTGTACCCACACATACTATATACTGTTTTTCTCGCCATTAAATGGTATTTCTAAAGATACCATTATTTTCATCATATCAGATATCTTACTATAAAAATAATTATAAAATATGATAATAAAACACACTTTTTCGAACTTTGACCCCACAAATCTGTTACACATCTACAACTGCCAAAAAACACCCATGCCATATAATTTCTAAACTTTGTCCTGAGTTTAGAAATACCCAAATGTTAACATGTTCTTGGCTTCTTTTTTTTTTTTTTTTTTTTAAGTTATAGGGCTGTAACTTGCTATTTCCAAATCATTTTTCCCCCCCCAAATTAACGCAACTTGCATTGTAACACTGATAAATGTCATGAATCCCTGAATAACAATTCACATGTATATATTTTTTTTAAAAGAAGACAACCTAAGGTATTAAACTTGGGGTATTTTAATTTTTTTTTTTTCTTTCATGCAACCATTTTACCACCAATCTATGCCAAATTAAAAATAAAAAAAATTAATTTTTTTTTTTTTTGACACATAATTTAATACATGTACTGAGAACTTTAAGGGTTACTGCCAAAGAACACCCCAATATGTGTTCAGCAACATCTCCTGAGTACAGTGATACCACCCATGCATAGGTTGTTTGGGGGATGCAATACCAAACTTCTGACATCTGTTTTTAAAATTTGACATCTCTTCATGGTCTATGTTCTT